TTGTAGGTATGAAAACTTTCAAAGACGACTAGCACAGAACCCTCTCTTTTGGAAAACATAATTTGAATAAAATAATTTTTAATGGATTCTGGAATTTGTCCTGTTTTGAATATAAATTACTCCATTTAAAAGCATGAAATCAAAAGGATCATGAAACCTAAGTTTAAAAACTGTTTAGTGACTATGAAGCTTAATTAAAATCTTTATAAAAAGTTAAAAACATTGAAAAATGAAAATATGTTCCTCATTAATGACTTTTCCCCATTAAGTTTAAAATATTCAGAGACAAAACATTTTGGTTTGGCTGTGATTCATTTTTTTACTTAAAAATAAAGCATATTCACAACCATAGTGTGCCAGATGTCATTGCATTGATAATCTTTTTTTTTATTAAAAATTTTTTTTTATTGTTGAAAGTATTACATATTCTCCCCTCCTCCTCCCGCATGGACCCCTTCTAGCCTGCCCCCACCCCAGGCCTCACCACCCTATTGTCTGTGTCCATGGGTTATGAATATAGGCATACAAGTTCTTTGGTTGATCACTTCCAACCCACCCATCTTCCCCCACCTTCCCTCAGAGATTCTGCGGTCTGTTCCATGCTTCTGTGTCTCTGGATTTATTTTGTTCATCAGTTTATTTTGTTCATTAGATTCCACATATGAGTGAAATCATGTGATGCTTGTCTTTTTCTGACTGCCTTATTTTGCTTAGTATAATACTCTCCAGTTCCCTCCATGCTGTCTCAAAGGGTAAGAGAGTCTCCTTCCTCCCTTCCTTCCTTCCTTCCTTCCTTCCTTCCTTCCTTCCTTCCTTCCTTCCTTCCTTCCTTCCTTCCTTCCTTCATTTTATTGATTTTTACAGAGAGGAAGGGAGAGGGATAGAGAGTTAGAAACATGGATGAGAGAGAAACATCGATCAGCTGCCTCCTGCATACCCCCTACTGGGGATGTGCCCGAAACCAAGGTACATGCCCTTGACTGGAATCGAACTTGGAACCCTTGAAATCCGCAGCTGACGCTCTATCCACTGAGCCAAACCGGTTAGGGGCGAGAGTCTTCTTTCTTACTGCTGCATAGTATTCTATGGTACAAATGCACCACAGCTTTTTTATCCACCCATGAACTGATGAGCACTTGGCCTGTTTCCAGATCTTACCTATTGTAAATTGTGCTGCTAGAACATAGGGGTGCATACATTTTTTTTTATTGGTGTTTTGGTTTTCTTAGGATATATTCTTAGAAGTGGGATCACTGGGTCAAATGGCAGTTCCATATATAATTTTTTGAGGAAACTCCATGCAGTTTTCCATAATGGCTGCACCAATCTGCATTCCACCAGCAGTGTACTAGGGTTCCCTTTTCTCCACATCCTCACCAGCACTTGTCATTTGTTGATTTGTTGATGGTAGCCATTCTGACAGGTGTGAGGTGATACCTCATTGTTGTTTCAATTTGCATCTCTTTGATGATCAATGACTTTGAGCATTTCTGTATAATGCTCATCTGTATGTCCCCTATGGAGAAGTGTCTATTTAGGTCCTTTGTCCATTTTGTAATTGGATTTTGGTCTTCCTTTTGTTAAGTTGCATGAGTTCCTTATATATGTTGGATATTAACCCTTTATCAGATGTATCATTGCCAAATATGTTCTCCCATACAGTGGGCTCCCTTTTCATTTTATTGATGGTTTCTTTTGCTGTGTAGAAGCTTTTTGTTTTGATGTAGTCCCATTTGTTTATTTTCTCCTTAAAAGAGGAGAAAATGTCTATTTAGTTTCCTTTGCCCTAGGAGATGTATCTGTAAACATATTGCTACAAGACATGTCTGAGATTTTGCTGCCTATGGTTTCTTTTAGGATTTTTATGGTTTCCCGACTTACATTTAGATCTTTTATCTATTTTGAGTTTATTCTTGTGTATGATGTAAGTTTGTGTCTACTTTCATTTTTTTTGCATGTATCTGTCTAATTTTCCCAGCACCATTTATTGAAGAAACTGTCTTGATTCCATTGTATGCTTTTGCCTCCTTTGTCAAATATTACTTGAGTGTAATGGCTTGGGTCAATTTCTGGGGTCTGTGTTCTGTTCCATTGATCTTTATGCCTGCTCTTGTCTCAGTGCCAGGCTGTTTTGATTATGGTGGCTTTGTAGTATAACTTGATATCTGGTATCATGATTCCTCCAACTTTGTTCTTTTCTCTCAAGATTGTTGTGGCTCTTGGGGGGTCTTTTTTAAGTCCATATAAAATTTTGGAGTATTTGTTCTAGGTCTGTGAAATACGCTGTTGGTATTTTAATCGGGATTGCATTGAATCTATAGATTGCCTTGGGAAGTATGGACATTTTAATGATGTTAATTCAATCAATCCAGGAACACAGTATATTCTTCCACTTGTTTATTTCTTCCTCTATCTCTTTTGTCCTGTAGTTTTCTGAGTACAAGTCTTTTACCTCCTTGGTTAAATTTATTCCTAAGTATCTTAATTTTTTTGTTACATTGGTAAATGGGATTGTTTAGTTTCTCTTTTTGAGAATTAATTATTGGTATATTAAAAAACCATTGATTTTTTGGGTGTTTATTTTGTATCCTGCTATGTTGCAAAAGTCATTTATTAAATGTAGTAGTTTTTTGGTGGAGTCTTTAGAGTTTTCTGTGTACAATATCATGTCATCTGCAAATAATGAGAGTTTTACTTCCTCCTTTCCAGTTTGTATGCTTTTTATTTCTTCTTATCTGATTGCTGTGGCTAGGACTTCCAGTACTATGTTGAATAAGAATGGTGACAGTGGGCATCCCTGTCTTGTTCCAGTTCTTAGGGGAAATGGTTTTAGATTTTGCCCATTGAATATGATGCTCAATGTAGGTTTGTCATATATGGCCTTTGTTATGTTGAGATACGCTCCCTCTATTCCCACTTTGCTGAGAGTTTTTATCAAAAATGGGTGTTGGATTTTGTTGAATGCTTTTTCTGCATCTATTGATATGGTCATGTGATTTTTGTCTTTTAATTTGTTTATGTGATATATCATGTTTATTGATTTGCAAATATTATACTAGCCTTACATCCCTGAAATAAATCCCATTTGGTCATGGTGTATGATCATTTTCATATATTGCTGGATGCGATTTGCTAATATTTTGTTGAGGATTTTAGCATTTATGTTCATCAGGGATATTGGCCTATTGGAATTCGGAAAATGCTGGCCTCATATAAAGAGCTTGGAAGTGTTCCTTCCTCTTGGATTTTTGGGAATAGTTTGAGGAGTACAGGTGTTAGTTCTTTGAATGTTTGGTAAAACTTGCCTGTGAAGCCATCCGGACCAGGGCTTTTCTTTGCTGGGAATTTTGTGATTACTGCTTCTTTTTCCTCAGTTGTTATTGGCCTATTTAGATTTTCTGATTCTTTCTCATTCAGTTTTGGGAGGTTGTATTTTTTTAGGAATTTTTCCATTTTGTCCACATTGTCCAGCTTGTTGCCATATAGTTGTTCATAGTATTTTCTTACAATCCTTTGTATTTCTGTGGTATCAGTTATTACTTCACTACTTTTATTTTTGATTTTATTTATTTGGGTCCTCTGTTTCTTGATGAGTTTGACTAAAAGTTCATCAATCTTGTTTATTTTTTCAAAGAACCATCTCTTGGTTTCATTGATTTTTTTTTTTGTATTGACTTTTTAGTCTCTGTCATTTATTTCTGCTCTAATCTTTATTTCCTTCCTTCTACTTATTCTGGGTTTTTCTTGATGTTCTTGTTCTATTTTTTAAAAAATATATTTTTATTGATTTCAGAGAGGAAGGGAGAGGGAAAAAGAGAAACATCAGTGATGAGAGAGAATCAATGATTGGCTCCTCCTGCACACCCCCTACGGGGGATTGGGCTGCAACATAGGCATGTACCCTTGAGTGGAATCGAACCCAGGACCCTTCAGTCCTCAGGCCAACGCTCTATCCACTGAGCCAAGCTAGCTAGGGCTCATTCTAATTCTTTAAGTTGGTGACTACACAGCTAGGAATCCATGGAGGCGGGACGGTCTGCAGACATGCAGCCCACTGACCTTTACACTGCATTAGGTTTTGGGAACATGGTTTTTGTTCATATTGCTTAGTGATAATTTATTCTGTTTGTATGCCAGTATTTTGATTGAAGATGATCTTTTATAAAGTCAGGGAACTTATGTTTAATTGTTGATATTAATATCCATTTAAAGCATATATGTTATTCTATAATTTACACAGTGGGCACTTATCCCCTTTTATCATGACTATATATGAGCTACAGTATTCCTGCTACTTGGTGTTGTATTTAAAATACGGTTTTGAGTGCACAAACTGTTTTGAATTTGAAGTCAAATGACTAAAAGTCAACTCCCTCCTCAATCCTCCAGCACTCCTTTTCCTTGGAGGGGGAGCCCAGGAAAAACCCAAACTGGGAAACAAATTCCAGCTCAAATTTAAACCCTCAAACAGATCCGGAGATTCAAATGTCCATCACTAGGGCAAAAGGTAGTCCTTGAGTTGTATAAAGTGATTACAAAAAGAACCAAGTTTCTTTGCTGCCCAGGGTAAGAGGGGAAGGAAACAACGTTAAAAATACATTCCCAACCTCGCTATCTGGAGCTCCTGAAATCACTGGGACAACCTGGGGGCTCATTTTAGGGGGCGGGGCCAAGACCCTAGCAATGGAGCGACCCTTTGTTGCATCCTAGCAACGGCCCCTCCCTCCCCTAGGTTGGCCCTGTCCCTCCGCGGCTGAGGCTCTTGCCTCTCTGTGGTGCGGAGTGCTAGCAAGGCTTTGCACGCGCTCGTTCTGGTGCTTTTCAGCTCTGGTTTTCCTGCGGTGGAAGCCGCTCGAGGGAGAGCCAGGGCAGGGGGAGGGACATTTAAGAGAGAAAATTTTCAATATTTGGTAATTTGTATATTTAAGGATTATCCAAAGGTCTGGGAAGAGAGGACTGGCGGGTGGGAAAATCACTTTTGTATAAGTTGCAGAAGGAAGACAAAAGACCGGTTTAGGACCCAGCAAGAGCCGACTGAGGAGTGGAGATGCTGGACACCATCTTCCCTTGCCTGCAGGGCGTGGGCAAGAATGTGTTGCCCACACTGCCCTTGCTGAGCCAGGAGGGTAAGCGACTTGAGGTGGGGGCCCTGGGGCTAAACCTTTATCTGCTTGTTGGGGACCAAGTGGAAGACCTCCTTCTCTATCCCCTAAAGTGGCCATGTCACCTTGGCAACCACCTTGGCATATCAGGCTCAGGCTGGATGCCCAAAAACAATTGTATTGACTGCCTTAATAAGGGACAGGGGCCAGTTAAGGCTTTTGATTGAATAAGACAATGTCTATACAGCACTTAGCTCCAGGACTAGGGCAAAGTAAATGCTCAATAAATGTTAGCTTATAACAACCACCCCACGCCCGCTCCTCAAAGTTCATGCAAAAATACAGCTACTTTTTTTGTTGCCCTTGGTATCTTGGGGTTGTATTAAGGAAGTGAGGTGATCATAAGAAGAGCTGGGTGTTAGCAAGAGGACCCAGCAGCTTTTCATAGAAAACGTACTAGGCTTGGTTGAAAGCATAGTTTCTCAGAAGAGTCACCCCAAAGCGACACTGAGATCATTCTGTAAGAGATAGGAGCCCTTGGGAAGAAAGGTGCTCCAGCAATGGAATTTGGGGTTACTATCAGTTCATTGTAACTTAGTGATGTTGGCTAGGCTTGAACCAAATCATTTGAGGAGACAAGTAGATGAGTAGATGCGTCTTCTTACTCTTTCCTCTGCTTCACTCCTATTTTTCCCTGTTAAAATAATTCTAAAAGAAGCATTAAATACTATGGTTTCAAAAATATTTGCCATATTTATAAATTTATAGATAATTTATTCACTCAACTAATTGTTGTTTATTTTAAAAAATATATATATTTGTATTGATTTCAGAGAGGAAGGGAAAGGGAGAGATAGAAACATCAATGATGAGAACCATTGATGGGCTGCCTCCTACACGCCCCCTACTGGGGATTGAGCCCTTCAGTTCACAGACCGATGTTCTATCCACTGAGCCAAACCAGCTAGGGCAGCGGTTCTCAACCTGTGGGTTGCGACCCCTTTGGGGGTCGAACGACCCTTTCACAGGGGTCACCTAAGACCATCGGAAAACACATATATAATTACATATTGTTTTGTGATTAATCACTATGCTTTAATTATGTTCAATTTGTAACAATGAAAATACATCCTGCATATCAGATATTTACATTACGATTCATAACAGTAGCAAAATTACATTTATGAAGTAGCAACGAAAATAATTTTATGGTTGGGGTCACCACAACATGAGGAACTGTATTAAAGGGTCGCGGCATTAGGAAGGTTGAGAACCACTGAGCTAGGGCCATTCAAGTAATTTTTAGAACATACTATGTGCTGGGTACTAGAGAACTGCTGGTGAACAGAAACCTTGGAATTCATAATCTACTGGAGAAAGATGCATGTTAATCAAATATTCACAGAAATAAAAATATAAATTTATACTTAGCAAGTGGTAACCAGTGTCAGAGATGACAGGAGTCAGAGAGGTGAAAATTAAACATGCCCATTGAGTTTGTTGACAAGGAGGCCATTTGTGACTTCAGCAAGAGCTTTATTGGTTGAATGACAGAAGCAAAAGTCAAATGACTACTTATTAACTTTCACAAATGCCCTGCCCCAATTTCAGCAAAACACATAAATTAACTTTTCATCATTGTATGTATGAAGTCCTGCTGCTTCTGTATGTTTTACCGGTTTAATGTTATGCAATTATATTACTTAGAAGGACAGAGGTGAGCTGGTGAAACTATTGGTGACAACACAGCTAGGAATCCATGCAGCCCACTGACCTTTCCACTGCATTAGGCTCTGGGAACATGGTTTTTGTTCAAATTGCTCAGTAATAATTTATTCTGTTCGTATGCCAGTATTTTAATTGAAGATGATCTTTTATAAAGTCAAGGAACTTATTTTTAATTGTTGATATTAATATCCATTTAAAGCATACTAGTATATGTTATTCTGTAATTTACACAGTGGGCACTTATTCTTTTTTATTATGACCATACTAGAGGCCCGGTGCATGGATTCATACACATTGAAAGGAAATTAATTAGAAGGTGGCCAGTGGGGCGGGATTGGGCAAGATGGGACGGACACACCCTGGAGCCAACCTCCCCCAGTCCCCACCCTGGCCAGCCACACCTGGAGCAGCACTGGGATTTGAAAGGCATCTGTGGAGTGAGCAGGGGTCCCTCTGGCAGGTGGGATCCCTTGGCCTGGTCTGTGGGGATCGGGCCGAAACCGGCAGTCCGACATCCCCCGAGGGGCCCTGGAGTGCGAGAGGGCACTCTGCAAAGTTGCTATCACTCGGCAGCTCCTGCATTGAGTGTCTGCCCCTTGGTGGTCAGTGCGCGTCATACCTACCGGCCAGTCAGCTGCTCGCTTAGCCTTTTATATATAGATATGAGATACAGTATTTCTGCTACTTGGTACTGTATTTAAAATATGGGTTTTGAGTGCACAAACTGTTTAGAATTTGAAGTCAAATGAAGGTTGAACTGAATATAGGGATTATTTCTTTATAATAGAAACATCAATGAGAGAGAAACATTAAAATAACAACAGCTTTCCTTAAAATAACAAAGTAGCATATTATTTAATTTGCTTTTTAGATTGGATTAAAATTATTTTTGTTCTGATATTTGGGGATATCAGAGAACTCAAAGTTAGAACTCACAGTCTGTAAAATTTCCAAATCTATTCCAATTGAATTGCAGGGGCCAAGAACTATCTAAAGAGGATGATTTGCATGTTTTCCTTTTTCTTCAATGAGAAATAGTAAATTTCAGTTTAGAATAATAAACTCTGCTCTTATATAAGCTTGCCCATTGGATTTTATAGAGCAGCGGTTCTCAACCTGTGGGTCGAGACCCCTTTGGGGGTCGAACGACCCTTTCACAGGGTTCGCCTAAAGACCATCGGAAAACACATATATAATTACATATTGTTTTTGTGATTAATCACTATGCTTTAATTATGTTCAATTTGTAACAATGAAAATAATCCTGCATATCAGATATTTACATTATGATTCATAACAGTAGCAAAATTACAGTTATGAAGTAGCAACGAAAATAATTTTATGGTTGGGGGTCACCACAACATGAGGAACTGTATTAAAGGGTCGAGGCATTAGGAAAGTTGAGAACCACTGTTATAGAGTAAAGCAACAAGGGTGGACTGAAATATCAGTCAAGTCTTTTCACTAGGGTTTGGTTGCAGGCGATAGAGTTTCTCCTGAGCCTAATCAAATCATTTCCCTTTGGTGTAGATTGTTTTCCTGAAATTTGAGCTGCATATCAGGAGTCTAGGTGAAAGACTTAACAGTTTTGACCTAATAACATTAAAAAATATTTTTATTGATTTCAGAGAGGAAGGGAGAGGGAGAGAGAGAGATAGAAACATCAATGATGAGAGAGAATCATCCATCAGCTGTCTCTTGCACGCCCCACCCTGGGGATCAAGCTGGCAACTGGGCTTGTGCCCTGACTGGGAATCAAAAGGTGACCTCCTGATTCATAGGTTGATGCCCAACCACTGATTCGTGCTGGTCAGGCTTGACCTAATAACTTTGAAAGGCCTCCATGAGACTGGATACGGAGATTCTGTATTATTAATGAATTGATGTTTTCGGTCATGATATTTTTAATTTAGTGTACAGTTGGGACTGGGTGAAAGACCTTACTTCTTAGAAGCTAGCAGTAGACTTCTTTTGTCTATGGGTGTGGGGAGGAGTGGGGAAAACAATAGTATGGGAAGAATAAAGGAAATACCTAATTATAGTATACTGTGTATCCATGATACAGATCGAAGGCGGCATCTTGACATATCGGGACGACACCCTTGGCTTTATTCCTGTGTTACAGAATGGTATAAGAATGAATGTTCACATGAATCAGATGGCACAGAGTCGACACTCAATTGTTTGTTGAATGGGTCAATAAGAAAAGGGTAGATTGTACTTAGTTAATTTTATCACATCAATAGAAATATGTGACAGAGTTCCTTTCATTCTGGAAAGATTTTCTTTAAAACTTCATTATACTTATTATATTTCTAATTACATTTTTGGAACTTTAAAGGGTTAGTTACCTGGAAAATTAATTTTGGGAAATAACCTTGTTTTCTGTTCATTTGAAATTAATTGGGAATCATGGTTATTTGATCTGCATTTAATATTTACATTTTTATTTATTAGCACTAAGGTACTACCACATGGGTACTTAAATAAATTATTTTTGGTTTCTTTTGAATTACAGATGTCTCTACTATTTGGGAGCATGTATCGGAATTTGTGGAACGGCAGTTATCCCTACACAAGGTAGGAGTCCAAAGAATCCTTCCACCTTAGTCCCATGTAATTTTGCTGGGAGCAGGATAGCAGACTTTAGAACCACCCAGTTTAACTTTTGGTCTTGTGATTTTATGATGCTCACACTTGGGACTTGTGAATATTTGAAAGTTCTGCTCTTCTAGGATACACAGTATATCACTAATCAGCCTGTGTGTGTGGAGAGCAACTAAATGAATTTTGCTTATCTGTGATCCGATAGTTCCTGGCTTAGATCTAGAAGGATATAATAATGCTTCGTGTCTTTCCTCCTCGTAGGGATTGGATTTTAATTGCAATATAAGAAGACAGGGCCTGAACTCAACTTGCTAAAAATGAGAAACTTTTCTCAGGGCTGGACTAATTCTTCCTGATTGGGGAGTTTGGAGGGAACTTCGAGGTTGTGGAACTTTTATACCCTATGTGACAGCCCTTGGGCTGAATTCATCCTTCAACCTAATTTTGTTTGGTCTAATAATTTGAATTAGTCATCGCCACTTAAAATTGGGAGAGTGTATATAAAATGTTGGATTTTTTTTTTCTCAAAAAATCAGATTTAACAATACCAGTTTTTCATTTGTGTGTGTGACAGTTGGCTGGAGCTGGCTATGGGCTTTCCCCTTTCGATGGGGCATGCTCTGTCTGCCCACCACATTCTCTGACTGCATAACTTCACTCACTCACTTGCATCCTTTCTTGGCCCCTGAGTTTGTAAACCTCGATGTATGATATTTCCAGAGAGACAGAGACCTAGTTTAAGAACCAGAGGTTGCCACATTGCACCATATGCCTTGGGCACTGGGTTGTCTGATTTTAAGGATGGGATAAAACATTTCAAAGAAGGAACGGGAAAGCAGAAATTCTCAGGATCCCTTAAATTCTCTCCTTCCAATGACAAATGATTAAAATTTAAAATGTCCCACAGTTTAGGACAAGAATAATCTTAGATATACTAGTAGATTAAGAGCAGTTGTAGCACATGCAAGTTTTCTTAGTCCTCACAGCCTCTGAATGATAAGGAGATGAGGGATCTGATGTCAGAAAGGCATCATGGGTTGATATATTACATTTTATACTAAACTTATTTAAAGACATAGAGTCATAAAATGCTGTAGCTGTAAAGGATTGTAGGATCATTGAATTTTTAAGGGCTAAGGTTAAGTCTATTCATTTTTTAAAATAACAATACTATAGATTATATTTCTTCACTCCTTCAGTAAATTGTTGCTATGTTTTTTCCTTTTTTTCCTTTCAGGGAGTTCAGATTCCAGGACTTGGAACTTTCACTTTCATGAGACAAAAATTTGATGTGGGAAACAAGTTTATTCTGTTTGAGAGGCCCGTATTTATCATGGCGAAGAAGTTAGTACAGCTTCATGGACTAAAACAAAACAAAGTATATACTCCTGGTAAATATATTTAATATTTAATATTTTTCCAGAGGGTGACTAATCTGGGGATGAAAATGAAAGGGCAAAAATGTGGTCAGTTGGGGTTCACTTTTCACATGGTCCTTTTGGCAGAGGGGAGGGGCTAAAGTAGAAACATAATTTCCAGTCTTCCTGCAGGCCCTTATATTTTTTTATGTTTTATTTTTTTTATTAATCCTCACCGAGGATATTTATCTATTGATTTTTATGGAGAGTGGAAGGCAGGGGAAGAGACAGAGAGAAACATCAATGTGAGGGAGACACATCAATTGGTTGCCTCCTGCACGTGCCCCAGACCAAGGCTGGATGGAGCCTGCAACTGAGGTACATGCCCTTGACTGGAATTGAACCCAGGACCTTTCAGTCCGTGGGCCAACACTCTAGCCACTGAGCCAAACTGGCTGGGGCCTGCAGGCCCTTTTAAACCTCAAGTAGCTTAAGAGGCAGGCTTGAGAAGACCTGATGTGACATCAAAGCAAATCTTTATAAAAGCCACATTTGTGCTGTACAGACTTTATTCATATTTCAGACCCTAAGAAATTCCAGGTGGTTTTAAAGTAGAGAAAGTTAGGTAGGGTCTCTGTTTGGGAGAATTACAGTCAGTATAGGTTGTGAGAAAGATCAGTAATTGTGTCTATCATATACATAATCAAAATTATTAAAATTTAAAAGTTAGAAGGATATTAATTCCATAAAGAGTTAATATAGTGGGCTCTCTCTGGAGTATGCCGGCGCTTCTCTTCTCTCTCAGATGTGCATCTTTACTTTTCTCTCCTAAACTCTAAGGAGTCCTGCAAGACTTGCAACCAGGAGAGCAATGAGCAGCGGCACCTTGTCCCAGGCTAACCCCCTGAACCTGTCTTTAAGGCCCCCTTTTCTCTGACTTCTCAGTGAGCCAACAGTAGTCGCTCCTGGGCTCACTTCTCTCACTGTGACCTTCACTTCCCAGTAAGCCAACAAACAGTAGCCCCGCCTTGGCTCACTTCTTTAACTTGTCTAGAGAGTCAGAGCAGAGCACCACCTAGGCCCTCTCCTGTTGCTTCTTCTACCCTAAGCCCTTTGTTTCACTGTCCCCAGCTTTATTAAACATACTCTCAACATCACCTGGAAAAAAAAAGAGTTAATGAATACCCTGTATACTTCTCACACCCTAAAGCTCCCTCCTTCCCTCCCTCCCTCCCTCCCTCCCTCCCTCCCTCCCTCCCTCCCTCCCTCCCTTCCTTCCTTCCTTCCTTCCTTCCTTCCTTCCTTCCTTCCTTCCTTCCTTCCTTCCTTCCTTCCTTCCTTCCTTCCTTCCTTCCTTCCTCTCTTCCTTCCATTCTCTCTTCCTTCTGCTAATTTTTACTGAGGGCCAACTAGTAAATATGGTGCTTGAGATTAGTGGTAAACAAGACAGACATGATGCCTGTCCCAGAATGCTTGCTTACATGCCAGCTTCAGGGGGTGGGCTTTGTGACACTGGCCCTGGTCACTTAGAGACCTTTGGGGGTCTCTCCCTGATTTCTGGCTCTATTTCTTTTGACCTTTCTTATGATCCCCTCTGCATCAGATTCATATACAGATGAAGAGAGACAGTCTACCTGCAGCGTCAGCAGGTGAAACACTGAAACTTAACTTTATGTTGTTTCCTGAAAAATTTCAGAGTAACTTTCCACCAAAAAATTATATCTTGAAAAAATACAAACTATACTTAGAATTCATTATGCACATATTCAGTATGATGTTTGACAGACTTTTCAGCCATTTTTACCTACAGTTTTATGACAGAAGAAATAACCTAATTCATCAGAAGCCTACAAAATGAAAATAAAAATAAAGTCTCCTCCCCCTCCCCAAACACCTGTGTCTTAGAATTGGAGTTTATTTTCTGTCTTATCTTATAATGCAGTCCACAAAAGTAGTTTAGGTCTATAATTATTTTCACAAGGTTGAGGAAATTTCAGAATTAAGTATATATGACTGAATTAGTTCACAAGAACAATTCTGTCCGCAGTTTATCTTTTAGGTTATGATTCTTCATCATTAATTAGCTGGGTTTCTTTTTTTTTTTTAATATATTTTATTGATTTTTTACAGAGAGGAAGAGAGAGGGATAGAGAGTTAGAAACATCGATGAGAGAGAAACATCGATCAGCTGCCTCCTCACATCCCCCACCGGGGATGTGCCCGCAACCAACGTACATGCCCTTGACCGGAATCGAACCTGGGACCCTTCAGTCCG